GTTTGGGTCCTGGCTGGATGGGCGTTTGGAGGCGCTGGGAGTGGACCGAGCCGTGTATGGCGCCTACATCCTCGGCGTCCTGCAGGAGGAGGAAGAGGAAGAGAAACTGGACGCCTTGCAGTGCATCCTCTGTGCTTTCCTGGTGAGTAACGGAGAACCCCGGTTGGCACGAGGCACCTCCTTCCCCACTCCGGGTCACGGAGGCCCAGCTGCCTCACCGGGGAGAGCACGCTCCTGGCCCGAGCTCGGGGCCGCGAGAGCAGGGGCTGCTTCTCTGCCGGGGCGTGAAGCCGGAAGGTCACCGGTCAGGGGGCGCTCGGCCCCCTCTGAAGGCCTAGGTGGGTTGGGGTTGGGGTTATCATCAATCCCCCAAACCGGTCCTCTCCCCGTGTTCAGAGGGGGAAGAAAACGCTCTGGGCTGTGCCCATTGGGAGGCAGCGCCTGGGGCCCCACGACCAAAGCCGGTAGGAAGTTCCCTCAGGTAGGGTCCCAAAGCGGTGAGCTGGTGGCAGAGGTCTCCTCGGGGTGGGGGGCTGAAGGCAGGGTCATGCTCACGCTCCACAGTACTGAGGTGGTTGGTGTCCGCTGGTATGGAGGGCCGTGGGTGAGATGAGAAGGCGAAGTTTGCTAGCTGTCCTCTGAGGAGTCACTAGTTCAGAAATGCGTACTTTAAGCTGTGTTTCGGTAGGGAGTGATCAAGATGTCGTCTTCCAACCCGCTAATTTCTGCCGCATTCATCCCCACTCTCGCTGCAACCCGCATTAGAATAGTTGCTGTGAATGCTTCGCTGGTCATTGGCTTCCCCAGGCTCTCTCCTTTTAAAAGCAACGAGCTCGAAAGTAAATTTACTTGCATTACTGCTAAATTTTGTAGAAACTAGTGTTGTCTTTGCATTCATCGTTTAGAGATCTTGGAAGCTGGACTACTGCTGTGAAAGCCACCAGTCCGTCAAAGGTTTTATCGTTTGGCATCTGTCACAATGAACAGAATCAGAGGGTGATAGAATACTGTATAGATAGAAGCATACACATGCGTACTTTGTAGAAAGTAGGAAACTGTTTCAATTCCCAAAGTATTTTGCGGAGGTGGAGGGCATCCTAGGAAAAGGAAAAACAAAACAAAACAAAACAAAAAACCCACCAGCAGTGCAGTTTATAAGGACAAGACTGAAATAGTTCACTTGGGCAGCTGTCCGGGATACCTCTGGCCAGAACCCTTTTTGTGTCTCAAACCTGCTCTATTGAGATTGCCCTAAAAGGGAAAACTTTAACAAAGCTTGTAAGGCAGCTGGGAGTTTGGTGGAAATACAGTGCAGTGGAATCAAATCTTTTCTTGGACCCTGACATTGCAGATTACAGGGTAAGGAATAAGAGGCAAGGAACTTTAGTTTTTTGTTTGTTGGTTGGTTTGTTCTGGGGGTAGTGGGGATTGAACCCAGGTCCTCATGCACCTGAGCTACATTCCTTATTCCAGTTCTTGTTAGGTGTTATTTTGAAACAAGTTCTCCCTCAGTTGCCCCGTCTGGCCCAATACTTTTTCTATTTCAGCATCCCAGCTGGCTGGGATTACAAGCATGTGCCACTATGGCTAGCCCTTGAATTTTAGTTCCAGCTGGGAATTGTCTTTTTAAAAAATGAATTGTATTTTATCCCATTCCCCCTTCAAGCAATTTTCTAAAGACTCCATGATGAGCTTGTTGGGTTTTTTTTGTTTTGTTTTGTTTTTGAGAAAGGATCTCACTAGGTAGTTTGAGAGTGACCTGGAACTCACTATGTAGCCCAGGCTGGGCTCGAACTCACAGCCATCCTCCTGCCTCAGCCTCCCGAGTGCTGGGATTACAGGCGTGCGCCACCACGCCCGGCCATGATGAGCTTGTTAAAATAACTTTGTTACCTCTGGGTACCCTTAGCCAGCCCTTTTCGTGGCATCCTTATTTGGAGCTATGATTCTGTGCATAAAGGGAAATAGTGTTATGCTGCTTACAGACTCTTGAGAGCAGAGGTCATTAGCTAGAAAAAATGAAGTTCTTTGTGTCTGTGTTTCAGGGCATAAGCTGCAGAAGACAGAATCATCTTTGAGGGTCCCTCTCACCCATCTGGTTCACCTGCCATGTTTAATTTTCTCATGGCTTTCCTACCCTCCTGTGTGGACACCAACTGGGAAGAACTAGCCCGGAGTCATACAGTGAAGCAAGCTCCATCGCTGAAACAGCCGAAGAGTAGAAGCAATGTGCTGTACGCTGCACACATACTTCAAAGTGCTGCTTTCAGCTAGCCCGTCTGGAGGCAGATATGCCAGAAACCCCTAACTTGGTTTTGAGACAGTCTCTGGCCATGTAGCCTAAGCTGGCTTCAAACTCACCATATCCTCCCTTGGCCTCCCTAGTGCTGGGATCACGGGGGGGTGTGCATCACCATACCTGGCTACCCATGGCATTTATATCAAATTCTTTCTAGGAAAAACAGAAAGCACAGTTGCCAGATTGGGCTAAGATTAAATCTTAGGAATTATGAAGTTTGTTAGCAAGAACTGAGGTAAGGTTCAAGAACGTGGTGTATAGTCAGGAATGAGTAACAGGAACCCGGGAAGTTAACCTTGCTCACAGGCTTGGCATGGGCGCTTAGGTGTGTCTGATCCACAGCCAGCATGGTTTCTGTCCAGCTGTGCTGAGGGGAAGATGGGACCCTCCCCGGGTCACCACGCCCCAGCCACACTGCAGCTCGACAGCCCATGAACCCTGGAGAATGCTCGGACCACTTTAGCTGAGGAAGAGTTTGAGGGTAGAATTTTGATTTGGGTGATGGATTTTTTTTTTTTAATTTTTTTAATTTTTGTACGAGCTTGCCAGGAAGGTGCAGAGCCACTAAGCCATATCCCCGGCCCTGGAGATGCACCGACAGAAGCAGGGAGGGTAGAAGGGAAAATGAAGATGCTAATCAGGGGGTAGATTCTCAGGGAGAGGGGAAAGAAACTTTAGTGACCCAAGGCCTGAGTGCAACTCTGATAATTTCAGAGCTGCTAAGAAAACAAACTAGATGTTTTCACACAACAGACTAATGAGTATGTAAGATGAACCTATTAAATTACCTTGATTTTATCATTCCATAATAGAAACATTTAAACATTAGATTGTACCCCACAATTATATATATAATTCTTGTCAATTTAAAATGCAGTGTATGAGCTGGGTGTGGTGGCACACGCCTGTAATCCCAGCACTAGGGAGGCTGAGGCAGGAGGATCACTCTGAGTTGGAGACCAGCCCAGGCTACATAATGAGTTCCAGGTCAGTCTCAACTACATAGTGAGACCCTGTCTCCAAAAACAAAAAATAAAATACAGTGTATGCCAGGGATGTAGCTCAGTGGTGCTGCACCTGCCTGGCAAGCGCAAGGTCTTGAGTTGGATTCCCAGTACAAAAAAAAAAAAACAGTATATATGTATTTAAAAGTTTTGTGTACCAATTTTTTTTTTTTTTTTTTAGATAAAGTCTTATTTTTATCGCTCAGGCTGGCCTTGAACTCCCTAGTAGCTGGGATTGCAGGTGTGTGTTGGCACCTGGCAGAATCTTTCCTCACAGCTGAGTCCTGCCCAACTCCGTGGCCCAGTTTCTCCTCCATTGGGAGTGCTGTGCTCCTGGCAGCCCTTCTTTAGGTGGCTGTTGCTTTCGTGAGCTCTCAGGAAATTAATTGGTCTACTTTTCCTGCTAGGAAGAAGATTCCCTACTTACCATCTGCAAAGAGATTGTGGAACGGTGGTCGGAATCTCAGAATGTTGTCCCCAAAGTGAAGAAAGAAGGTAGCATTGGCGTTTGTGTGTCACCCCCAGGGCCTGTCCTGGAGCCTCTGTGCATGGCTGACTGGAGAGTTTCACATCCTCCTTTGGACACTGATGCCCTGGAAGGTTTCTGCTGGCAAACTTTTCTTTTTTTCCATCCCTACTGGGAATTGAACCCCAGCCCTGTACACGGAGCTACAACCCCCACCCATTTTTAATGTTTTCTTTTGAGGCAGGATCTTGCCAAGTTATTAAGTTGCCGAAGCTGGGCTTGAATTTGTGAACCTCCTGCCTCAGCCTTCTGAGTAGCTGGGATTACAGGTGTGCACCACTGTGGCTTTACTTTTTTCATTTTCTTTCCTGTGCCCTGTGCACTTTGGCATTGAGTGTACAGTCAGCTACATTTTTCTCATCTCACCTTTTTTGTGTTCTCATTTTGTACACAGATTGTGGTTGGGATTGTGTTTTCTTCAGCTAAGCTCTTCACCCTTTAAAATGCTGAAATGGGCTCACATACTCAGCATTTGGATGGTAAGTTAGCTGAGAAAACCCAAATCATAAAAACCAACAACCTGATGCAGTTGTCTGCTTCATGAGAGTCCCCTGGTGCACCTGCCTGGGCTGGCGGTGGTCTTTTCTAAATGAGTCTCAGATGTCCTTTTTGTGTAGCCAGGCCTGAGAAATACTGCTTTAAACCCTTGTTCTTTGTTCTCTTGACATTGGAGAACTTAAAAATTGATCTTATTTTAAAATGTAGTAAAATACCATTCTTTTTTTTTTTCTTCTTGAGATAAGATCCTGTTATGTAGCCCAGGATGGCTTCAAACTTGTGATCCTCCTGCCTCAGCCTTCCAAATATTGGAATTACAACTCTGCACCTCCACATTGGGCAAAATATTCTTAAGAATTTTACTTGGCATAATGATGAACTTGAAAGGGAGCAGCCTGTGTTGGTTCTAGATCCTGTGCATGGCTGCATATGTGGTCTCTTTCCTGTGATTTCAGCACAGTGCCTTCCAACCCCTTAAGCAGCAGCACCTTGGTATATGAACCAGTTCAGCAGTGCTGCTCTGGTTGAAGAAGGTCCAAGGCCTAAAGCTTGGTCCTGCCTGCTCATGGCCCCCAAGGCAGCTTCCTCAAACCCAGGGCTCTGGAGTCAGCAGGTGTGCCATGGGAGGCTCAGGTCACAAACCCCTTTCCTCTTAACGCACTGTTCCTTCTTGCACCCATCCCAGATGAGGTCCAGGCCATCACCACCCTGATTGAGAAGCAGGCGCAGATCGTGGTAAAGCCCCGGATGGTGTCGGAGGAGCAGCGGCAAAGGAAAGCCGCCCTGCTGGCGCAGTACGCAGATGTGACTGACGAAGAGGAATATCCTTCCCTGCTGCGCAGCCAGGGCTCACAGGACCTTGGGAAGCAGCTCATTCGCTTCCTGGCTTTATTTTCTCCTCTACGATGACACTGACTCAGCCAGGCACAGTGGCACAGGCAGGAACTCAGTGAGTCCCTACCTCAAAAAACAAAAAGGGCTGAGGATGTAGCTCCGTGCAAAGGCCCTGGGTTCCATCCCTAGTACCAAGAAAAAACGGCGACCCTCTGTGGCCCTGTGTGACCCATGATCTGCAAAGTTGAGCTGGTTGCTCATATACATGCATGGACACACACATGCATGGGCTTGCACGGGCACACATGGACACAGGCTCACACGAACCCTCAGGCACGTGCATGTGCACACCTGTTCACACACATTTATACACACACACTCAAACGCACACATTTTGGTACTAGAAATGGAGCCCAGGCCTCGCACATGGTAAGCTTGTGCTGTGCGCTCCTGAGCTAACCCCTAGGTATGGTCTTCTTTTTTTTTTTGGTACCAGGGATCAAACTCAGGATCTTGTGCTTGAGAGGCAGGTGCAGCACCACTGAGCTAAATCGCGGCCCTGGACTTTTGTTTTTAACACATGATCAGTATCTTCCTGAAAAGTTCAGTGTGAAACAAGTCATGCATCAATGGACTGTTTACACTGTGCTTTCAGAACGTCTGTGTTTGCCGGGTGGTTTTCTGTGTGGAATGGTGTTGTGAGTGTAACTGAGGCACAAAGAAGCATCAAGGCATCAGGACATTGGTGGCAGGTCAGAACCAGAACCTGGGTGTCTGAAGTTAGGAGCAACCTCATGAGATTTCCCAGTGTGATCGTAGTTAGAAGTGGAGCTGAAGCCCTTGCAACAGCAGAATAAAGCTGGACTTTGAGGGCGGGCAATACCGCATCGGGGCTGGCAGGGCATTTATGGGTGTGCCGTTGACGGAGGACATGCGGAGCTCACCTGGCTGATAGAATGGGGTGTGGCGTGCTGTGTGGGGGCCTTCGCCCTGGAAAGGTCAGTAGTGTCACGGGAGTGGTGCTTCCGGGTCTGTTTCTTTCCAGGGTTGGCAACACTGTGGCGCTAATGACAAAACATTACTTCTTGGGTGAGAGGAGACTTTTAAGGCACTGGCTGTTTTGGAGGACATGTTAAGTCTCAGATTTCTGGCCGAAGAGGTTTGGGGTCCAGGAATGCACGTTCCTGGGAACAGCGCATCAAGGGCCACTGTAGAGAGGGCGTCTCCCTGTGGCCTGGCTTGGAGGTCCCAGTCACCCAGAGTAACTTAAATTTCTTCTCAGCCTCTAAGAAAAGGGTTTCCAGAAGCTCTGGACAGAATTCCCTAAGTGGATTTTCTTTGTTTATTTGGTTTTTTTAGTGTTGAGATGGGCTTGCCAAGTAATTCAGGCTGGCCTTGAACTAGCAGTGGTGCTCCTGCATCAGCTTCCCAAGTGCTAGAGTGACAGGTACGCCCCTCACCTAACTTTGCTGTCGCCCTGACAGGGCCCTCCCTGCATCCAGCCCGCTTCCCTGCCCACCTGTCTGCTGCATATTTCTGATGCTGAATTGGGCTGTGCAGGCCTTTGTTTTCTGACTTTTCCTTAACATCAGTCACTGAAGCAGAGGAGAATGACGATTCCGGCCCGGGGATGAATGCCGGTTCCGACAGATGTATCCTTCTCTGTGTCCATCCCCGTGTGTCTCCGCAGGTCCTCGAGGGTCGGCTTTAATTCTGCTGTCGTTGCCAGGGTTCCCTTTATCTCTAGGAACTCTTCTGTCGTGTCAGCACTGCAAGCCCATCCTAATGGCCCAGGTAGTTGCCTTAGGACAGTGGTGGCGAACTTGTGGCACACGTGCCACAGCCAGCTGCGTATTATCGTGGAAAGCTCTGAAAGGTTTGCTGTCACGGCAGAAGCACTTTGCCTAGGCCCGGTGAGTCGGCGGGCTTTGTGCAGGGCTGGCTAGAAGCAAGCTCTCCAGAGTCTGTATGCCCGTGCAGATCGAGGCTGCCTGGCACTGTGGAATCCGGTACAGTAATGGAGTTTTATCTTTGTTCCCAGGAACCTTATAATTTCTTGGAAAGAGAACATAAAGACAACGCTTTAAGCTGAAAATATGCATAGTGACACATCTGTGCTGAGAAAGGACCCTCCTGACAGAATCCCTTCCTAAACTGCAGCCCCAGGAAGACAAGCTTCCAAGTCCACCTTGGAGTGACAGAGGATGGTGGTTATTAAAGTTGTAAGAAATTAGAGCTGGGGGTGGTTGCACACACCTGTGATCCCAGCACTTGGGAGGCTGAGGCAGGAGAATCACTGTGAGTTCAACGCCAGCCTGGGGTATAAGATTCAAGGTCAGCCTGAACTACATAGCGAGGCCCTGTCTCAAAAAACAAAAATGAGTTGTTTTTGGCTAGTTAAAAAAATCTAACAATTGTTACTTATTTTGTGTCTCATAAATTTAATCTTTATGGTTATCAGAAAAGTTTGATTTTTTTGTTTTGTTTTGTTTTTTTGAGGAAGGGTCTCCCCCTTCATAGTTCAGGCTGGCCCTGAATTCAGTGTGTAGCCCATGCTGGCCTCAAACTCACAGTGATCCTCCTGCCTCAGCCTCCTGAGTGCTAGGATTACAGGTGTGCACCAGCACACCTGGCTAGAAAATTTTTCTCGCTTAAGCTTCAGTAATTTAGGAAAAAAATGTGATTAACTTTTCAGGCATTTTTATAGTGCTAAGTATATAGTTTTCCAGTTAGTCTTATCACTAGAACTATGATAGTTATGCCAGCAATATCCTGCTGTTGAGTATTTATACTTGAAACTTCATTTTGATAATGTAATTTAAAATTCAGATTAATTTGAAAGAAAACCAAAAACCTCCCACAAAAATAGACCTCCCTACAAAAAAAACCCTGAAAGCATTTTTTTTTTTTTTTTTTTTTTTTTGGTATCAGGGATTGAACTTAGTACCGTATGTATGCTTGCAAAGCTGGCGGCAGAACCACTGAGCTAAATCTCTGGTCGCAGCAATTTTTAATCTGAAGGACATTTTACAACTCCTGTGCTGGTAGTGTTAGCATTTCCCCTAGACGACAGATAAACACAGGGTTGTCTTCGAAGGCTTGACAGCAGGGTGAGTAGTAGTCCTAGCTGGACCCTCTGTTACCTGCGCCTCCATCTCTTAACTCACCTCAGCTCTGTTCCGAAACACCAACGTGGAGGATGTCCTCAGCGCTCGGAAACTGGAGCGGGACTTGCTTCGGGATGAGTCCCAAAGGAAGAAGGAACAGGACAAGCTGCAGAGGGAGAGGGACAGACTGGCCAAGCAGGAGCGCAAGGAAAAGGAGAGGAAAAGGACACAGAGAGGGGAGCGGAAGCGATAACCTCAGCCAGCTTCGCTCTTCCCCTTGTGGACCTCAAGTCGAGCAGGGTGCACAGACTTGTGTTTAGGACTGAGGTAACTGCGGCGAAAGGTTCCCTCTTGTTTACATGGTTAAAAGGAAAATCACAATCATTCTAATTACGATAGGTGTGTGTTTGGTGGTGTGGGCAGTCATAGTCATTGTTCTTTACCAAAGACCTGGAATGGGGCAGCCTTCATACTTTAATACTCAAGTCCCAGGCTTCTTTAAAAAATAAATCTTCCTTGGGTAAAGAGCAGGATTCAGAAAGCTGACTCAGGTTTCGTCCTGAAGGAGTGGAGCTGAGACCTACGCTCTGCGGGGCACAGCAGGGCCACAGGACGCCCTGGAGGTGATGTTACCCCAGTTGTAGGAGTTTCCCAGCTGAGATAGGAAGCCCTACTGAATCCAGAGTTTATGGATGTGGCAGCAAACTAGGAAAGGGACTGTTTGGCGAGGGAATGTTATAGATCTGAGAATGTTTTTAAAGAAAGTTTCAGCTTACAAGACAGAAAAAAGTCTTTTTAAATAGAGATCGTTATGTATTTTTCCTCTACTGGGCAGTGACTTTGTGCTTTAAGGAGAGAGTGGTATTGAGTGCAAGGATATCTTTGTTAGCTAAATTAATTTTTTGTAATCATGAATCTTCTTGAGTTCTAGTAAATTTTAAGCCTGATCTGCCCTAAATCATGACTACTAAGACCGCTAGTTCCTGGTTTAGAGAAATTGGAGGTATTACCCTTGTAAGAAAAGCACTGGAACCCTTGGTGACACAAAGATGCTTAGGGCAGGGCCAGTAGGTGCTTAGTTAACTTATCCAGTGGGCCAGTGAGTGGTCGGGAGCCTGGGATCAGAGGTTACAGGGCACCACTCCTGCCCTTGTCACGGCCTGGCTGGCTGCAGGGCAGGCCTTTCCCTCGCTGACTATAACAACAAAGTGAACAGGGCTCAGCACACTGCCACCCAGGAGCCAGAATGGCACTTTTTTTTTTTTTTTTTTTTATTTTTTTTTTTTTTTTAGTATGGTACAAACTAAAAGATTTTACATTTTTAAAAGGTTATAAAAGAAACTAGGAGGACTGCATGTTTGAGCCCAGCCTAGGCAACTTAGTATTTAGTGAGCCTCTGTCTCAAAACTTAAAGGACTGGGGATGTAGTTCAGTGCAGTTGCCCTGGGTTCAGTCCCTAGTACTGCAGGAAAAAAAGGAAAAACATGACAGATGATAAGTGGCCTGTAAAACCTAAAATATTTACTGTCTAGCTCTTGAAGAAAGTTTGCTGAGCTATTATCACTACGAGATTACCAGGATGTACCTTTGTGCAGAAGGTTTTTCTTAAAAGGCACGAGTAAAGGAGACACTGTTGCTTCACAGTCCCAATAACTGGCATTGCAAAGATAACCATCTTTTTAAAAAATAAACTTTATTTAAATCAGTGTCTTCTGTCTGATTCTTGCCAGATACATGTGGAAATGAGGTCTGCGCGGACAGTCACTTAGGAATGCTTTTACTTTATGCTTTGTTAGCCCTGTAACCTACATTCTATTGATAGAACCTCTTCTCCCTGGAATCCATGAATTCTTTTCCTCAGATTTCCTTTCTATGAGGTCACATCAGATCAGAAAGATTACTGTTTTTTGGAAAGACACTAAATTGGCTGTGAAGTCTTTTGAGTTACTAGCGGAGGCTTAAGTTATTTGGTGATGGCAGTAGGCGGTGACATTAGAGCCAATTTAAATAGGGGCCTTATTTTGGGATTTGGTTTGTTCTCAGTTTGGTCTCTGAAGGAGATGATTCCCACAGACACCTCAAGGGTATGCTTCAGTTTGTTAGCAGTCCTTCTAGGACTATTCTGTAAGTATGGCACAGTTAGTGTACATTCAAACTAGTGTTTCAACGAAGAATCAGTTTGATAGGCTTTGAGTATGATTGTCCACTCATCTGACAATAAATCCTTTATATCCAAAGTTTTTGATATTGCAAAGGGCAAATCTTCCCCCTGCCCTTGTACCAGGGATTGAACTCAGGACCTAGGCAGGTGCAGTGCCACTGAGCTAAATACCTAGCCCTCTAAGGGCAAATTTTAAATGACTGTATCTTCTAGAGTAAGATTAGAATTTTAGGCCAAACTTGAGATTTCAGTCATAACTAGTTCCCCACCAATCCTCTAAAACTTTATGTAGTAGATTATTAAAATAGGAAGCGCCAGGGATATAGATCTGTGCCACCTGTGCCTGGCAAGCACAAGGTCCTGAGTTTGATTCCTTGTACTGAAAAAAACAAAACAAAACAGTAATACAATAATTCATGGTAACTTTTAAATGCCTTTATATAAATTGTTTTTTCCATAAAAATGAATATACCAAATGTCTTTTAATTAGAAATGGAGGGAGCACCGGCTTTGCCAATTCACTGCAGATTTTGCTTTTTGTTTTTTTGTTTTTTGTGGTACTGGAAATTGAATGCAGGGCCTTTGTACTGAACTACATCTCTAGTCCTTTTTTTAATTTTCTATTTTGAGACAGGGTCTTGCTAAATGGTTAACTGGCCCAGGTTGAGCCTCAGAGTATTAGGTTTAGAGGTACGTGCCATCATGCCTAGATGTGTGTATAATTTTTCTGTAGGTTGTACTTAAGACGTAGTGGACTGGGGATATATCTCAGTGGTTCTGCCACCTGCCTCAAAAGCACAAGGGCCCAAGTTCGATCCCTGGTACCAAAAAAAGAAAAAAAAAAGATGCATGGTACATAAGAACTGTCCATTACATATAACACAGTAGAAAGGGACAACCAGTTAATAGAAATACCTACTGGGTGACTTGTGATTTTTTTTTTTAACAAGGTGATTAGTTTTCTTAAATGGAGTAGTTTCATTTCTGACCACTGTCATATTAAAGCTTCCACAAAAATTTACTCTGGTTTGCCTAGATTACTGTAAAGATAAAAGTTTCATCTCTGTAGGTGTTCATGTGCAATTCAAGGATATGTGAAGGGCATCAGTCTACTAACACTTATGAGATGTAAAACAAATTGTTATCAGTCAAGTTTTCCGACTTGAGTAACTCTTAGGGTTAGAAACATTCAAATGTAAGAAAAAGGAAACCAAATATTTTCAACAGTTTATTCTTTTCTTGAGAGACTAAATTCTGTACAATGTTTGTTTTTATAACATCCAACACGTCTCACGTCAAACTTAAACCACTTTCTGTGCAGTGACTGGTGGGGTGATCTATTTTATTTGACTACCCTCATGCAATTCATTTAAGTAGTTCTATGGCTTATCAGTGATCAAAATGTTTCTCCCTACAGTTGCTCCTGCATTTGCAAGCAGTTTCTTCCACACATCATCTAAAGAAAATTTATGTGGTGTGATTACACTTTTTTTTTAAATACCAGGATTTCTAAAACTAAGAAAAACAACATTTAAAACATCAGTGTTTTTGATTAAGGATACAATTAAATTTCATCAGTACATTATACTATAATTCAACTCATGCTAGAAATGTTAAAACAAGATCTTCCGAGTCACATAATACCAACATTTTATATTAATAAATTACTCGGGTTCCATAACATTAAGGGATGAAGAAGAGAAAAAGCCAAGCTTTCAAGTACTCATAAAAAAAATATATATAGAAGTAAACTAATGAACACAACTACACAAAATATAAATGAACCAAATGTAAACTAAACTAGTTAAGGATTAACCTTAAAAATTACGTTTTAGAACTTCGTGATACCCTCATAAAAGACAGCCAACTAAGGGTATTAAAACAGTAGTCATTATTTTAGTGACTGTGAATCAAGTCTAAAAGATCCAGATAAAAGAAATGTTTTGATTCAATTTACTTTAAAATTAGAAATAATACTTAATAGTATAAATTTTAACTTTAAAATTAGAAATTATTAATACTTAATAGTATAAATTTTAAAGAATATACACAAATGATTTGAACAGGTTTTATATCCAATAACTTGCATGGTTTTTGCACTGGCACTTTTATCACTAATTCAGGAGAATCAGATGCATTTCCCTCCATATACTTAGGTACTAAGATTTCAAATTTATAACTGTGGTAGTATTTTAAATTTTTACATGAATATTTGTTTTCCTTCACCTCAAGTTTGTCCAGTTTTGTAAGGAAAACACTTTCCTACCACAATCAATATTGTCTTGGTTACTAGACTGTAGCCATAATTGGATTACAGTCACTTAAGATTCATTATTTGGAATTATACTTACTAAGGCAGAACTAAATGAAGAATTTGATATTTGCATTTACCTACACTGCAGAATGAGTTTAATATTTTAGCTGTTAGTAATTTGCTTAAAGAAATTTGTTGTTGGATTACTCAGAACTAGAGTAGTCAACCTCCAAATTCACTATCTCATTCATTCCAAATAGATTTTTAAAGAGAAGTTAGACTTCATTAAGATATTAGCTAAATTGAAAAGAAAATGTACTGAAGTTTGACAAGTTCATTAAAAATTGTTAGTTATGTCTTGATAAATTTACTTATCAGCTTTTCATTCTTCCTTCTGCGGCCTTTCCTTAATGTTTGTGTCACCTCTCTGGCTCACTGGATTGATGCTATTCATGCTATCACAGAACTTATTGTCAGTTCACTATGTCCTGTAAAACTTTATCCACATCTGCTTGGCCAGCTGTGCTCACTGTCTTCGGCAAGGTCATCTGCAGTGCACACCACAGGGTCGTGCGTGCTTTCCGAGTGGCCACACACATCTCTTTAATTGCTGAAGCAAGGGCAAAAATCTCTGTAAAAGAAATATTCAGGGACATTTCATATAGATACCATTTCAATATCCCTAAATTCATGAAGCCCAGTGTTGTCAGTACTAAATAATCAGACACGATTTTTATAAAAACAAGGATCAGCTGGGTGTGGCGATGCAAGCCTGTGATCCTAGCACTCCAGAGGCTGAGGCAGGAGGATCACTGAGTTCAAAGCCAGCCTGCGCTACATAGTTCAAGGCTGGCCTGAATTACATAGTGAAACTCTGTTTCAAAAAAATAAAATAAAATAAAATAAAGTGGGTGGGGGAGGAAGGAAAGGGAAAGTAGCTATTGACTGAGCTAACATAAGTATTTCATTTTAAAAATACATAAAAGTATTGATATTTGATGTTTTCTGACTTGTATCACAATGCTTTGGGCAAAACAGACTGTGTCTTAAGACAGGTATTATAATTAAATGAATTAACAAAATAAAATAATCTTTGAAAAAAATATGTTGATCACTTGCTAATCTGTTCTTTAGGGAAGTGTTAATCTTAGAAATCCAAACTTTTAATTCCAATCTGATTTTAAAATATTCAAGTTATCACACCTTATTAAAGGGTGTGCATCAATATCCGTACCTCTGTCATCCTGGCATCTTGGCCCTCCTTGCCTTTGCCGATTTGAAGCATTAACAATCTCATCCTTTCTGCGTGACTGTACGATGTGAATGGACTCCAAGTGTCTATCGAGAGCAGTAGAGATGTTGGCATGAAGGGGAGAGCTCCGGAGACGCTCCATTTTGCCTAGTAATGTCATAACCTGAAGGAGACATTTCAGATTAAGTAAAATGTGTAACCCTACAGTTGTGCTATCTCCTTAAGTATAAAATCTTCAGAGAAGCAGAAAGATGTGAGCAGCAACAGCCATTCAGTAGACAAATACTGTGTACTGTACCACCAGGATAGGGGTAAATGAAAAGTCAGATCTTTTTGTTTTGTTTTGTTTTGTTTTTGAGACAGGGTACTATGTAGTTGAGTCTGACCTCTAACTCACTATGTAGCCCAGGCTGGTCTCGAACTCCCAGCGATCCTCCTGCCTCAGCCTCCCGAGTGCTGGGATTACAGGAGTGCGCCACCACGCCCGGCTGAAAAGGCAGATCTATATACCTACTTTTATATATGTTCATTCTACAAACTTCCAACATTTCCATGCCACTGAAATTGCAAATAGAAGATCTGATACTGTTTTTGATCATTAAGAGCCTGCAAATAAAGCAGTGGTAGGTGGTATCATCAGAGAAGAATTTGAGTTTAAAGGAAAAAGCATTAGTTTACTTCTAACCTCAGTCCTCGAATCTCAAATGTCTCCCTTTTAGAAATCAGAAATGTTCAGATAATACTATTAAAGACAATTTTAAGGAATAGATAATACAGAAAGTATAGATTTAAATTTATGTTGAAATAATACAAAAATCTTTGTCAAAACAGCTAAGGAAAATTAGGAAGGCCCTCGGTCATTTTATTAATGAAGTTTAAATCCAGGTGTGGTGGTACATGCCTATAATCCCAGCACTCTGGGAGGCTGAGGCAAAAGGATCGCAAGTTTGAGCCCAGTCGGGGCAACTTAGTGACTTAGCAAGACCTTGGTCTCAAAATTTAAAAAAAAAAGTGGGGGAGGGTTGGAGATGCAGCTTGCTGTGAAGGCCTTGGATTCAGTCCCAGTATCAGCAATAATAATAACAACAACAGCAATAATGATGATGTAGCTTAAAAGAGACTGAATATATATAGTAGACCAATAGGGGGAGTATATTATTATTATTATGTCTAATATCTTTCAAATTCTAAACTTGGAAAATGTAAGGAAAGAGAAATGTTTTTATTAAGATTTGATATCAAAATAATTACCTGCAGAAATGGAACGATTTAAAAATTTTCGTTAGAAGTGGTGTTAGTGATTGGAGAATGTTGGAAAAAACTAACTCAGATCAAGTTTTTGTCTTCTTTTTTTCCTCCCACTAAATGCTAAGTTGCCCAGGCTGGACTCAAATTTGTGATCCTCCTGCCTCAGCCTCCCTGAGTGCTAGGATTACAGGCATAGCTTTCATACCAAGTTTCTTTACAATAAGTCTATTTCAGGTGTTAAATATTTTCCTGCCAACTGCACAGGCCAGATCTTTGAACTCTTGCCATAAAGAAGGATGCCCTTCAGACATTTCTAGCTAAATGGATGGACCTTGAGACCAAATCCTTAAGTGAAACAAATTGGACACACAGGTTTAAATACCTCATTGTTTCTCTGATGTGAGAAACCGAAAGTAGAAATAAGGACTAAAAGTATAATAGATATGGAAAATGGAAGAAAATGTTGAAATAAGAAGGGGATCAACGGGGGGAGGGAAGAAGGGAAAAGAAAAAAGGAGAAAATAGAAAGAAAAATTGGAAACAAAGCTTTTGTACATAGGGAAGGAGACCTGAGGGAGGATGGGAAAAAGAGGCAGGATGTATATCATGTACAGGTGCAAATTCCTTATGATGAGTGTTATCACTATGTATGTCTAAAATGTACCAATAAATGTTTTGATATTTCAAAAAAAATATTTTTTGGTACCGGGGATGGAACTCAGGACCTCGTACTTATGAGGCAGGCACAGTGCTACTGAGCTAAATCCCCGGCCCTCAAAAATAAAATAAAATAAAATATTTTAAAACACCAGATCTTTGAGAAGTAAATAAAACAATAAAAGAAAGAAAACAGTAAGAGTACATCCAAAAACTCCAGAGTACTTTATGGTTAAAAGAAAGAAATGGATGAGCCAGGTGTGGTGGCACATACCTATAATTCCAGCAGCCACAAGGCTGGTGCAGGAGGATCACCATGAGTTTGAGGCCAGCCTGGGCTACATAGTGAGTTCAAGGCCAGCCTGATCTGAACTACATAGCGAAACCCCGTCTCATTAAAAAAAAAAAAGCAATATGATACTCTATTACATGTTAATTTCTCTAATCCCTAAAGTGGTCTTTATTCTGTCATACAGATAATTTTTTTTTTGGTACCAGGTATTGAACTCAGGACCTTGTGCTTGCAAGGCAGGTACGGCACCACTGAGCTAAATCCCTGGCTCCAAGATAATGTTTTGTGTTTTTGTTTTTTTTTTTCCGTATTTTGAGATAGGGTCTCACTATGTAGTTGAGACTGACCTGGAACTCACTGTGTAGCCCAGGCTGGTCTCGAACTCAGCAGCGATCCTCCTGCTTCATCCTCCTGAGTGCTGGGATTACAGGCATTGCACCACCATGCCTGGCTCCCAAGATAATGTTTTGCTGTATATTTTTCTCAGGCAACAACTTCTATTTGGAACACAGTATGTTTATAAAAAGAGGTTAAAAAAAAGAGTACCTACTCTAAGTTGCTCAGAAAATTCTGAAATTAAAAAGGAAATAATAGGTATAATCATGATTTAACATCAAGAGTCTTCACAATATTTGAGGTGATATCTTACTTTTCCAAAACAAAGCTATTTTGTAAAATGATACATACCTGCACACTGCAGCTTCTCAGTATTGAACACATTGCTGAATATATTTAGGTGTGTTGAATAACTCAGAATGTGAGTTAAAACCAGACACAGAGTTACACACCTGCAATACCAACACTCTGGGATTCTAATGCAGGAAGACCGCAAATTCAAGTCCAGCCTGAGCATTTTATTTGTTTTGGGGTTTTTTTTTGTGTGTGTGTGTCAGAAATCAAACTCAGGGCCTCGCACCTGCCAGGCAGGCACTGTGTCACTGAGCTACATTTCCGGCCAGCCTGGGAATTTTAGCAAGACTGTCTCAAATTTTAAAAAAAGCTGAGACTCAGCTCAGTGGAAAGGCCTTGGGCTCAATTCCCAGTATTCCCCACCCTCCGAAAGTGCAGGTTAAGGATGTGAGGGCAATCTGGCTGCGACATCTGTCACCCCATTGATCACCAGGGTTGATTCTGCTGATCTGGCTGGCTAGGCGGGTGTCCCCTTTCTCCATGTGCATCCCTCCCAAAGCTGTGCACTCGGTCAAAGAGGACGACCACCCCCAATAGAGGAGGACCGTTTCCTCCGTCAAGGATACACGAGTAGCTGCACTCCCCTGCTAGAACCTCCAAACAAGCTCTCCAAAGTGCAGGTTAAGCAGACCTAATGGTACATGTACATCTGTAATCCCAGGGTCCCAGATACTCTGGAGGCTAAAGCAGGAAGACAGCAAGTTTGAGTCCTGCCTGGGGAACTCAGTGACACATTGCCTCAAAATTAAAAAATGAGATGTGCTGGGAGCTGGGGATGTAGCTCAGTTGTAGAATAGCCCTGGATTAAATCCCCAATACTAAATAAAATAAAAATTTTAAAAGGTTTAGAAAAAATGTAGTATTCCATGTTAATTTATCATCTAATGTAATAAAAAGATACTTTACTCATCAAGCTAGAAAACAAGTATCTGTACCTAAGAAATTAGACTGTCCCTATAAATAATATTCAAAATGCCAGGTGTGGTAGTACACACCTGTAATCCTAGCACTCAGGAGGCTGAGAAGGAGGACTGCCTCAAGTTCAAGGCCAGCCTAGTACATAGCAAGACCCCGTCTCAAAAAACAAAAAAAACCCCAAAACGAAAACAAAAATAAAAAACCCAAAAGGAGTTTCCTTTTAAAAACATTCTGCAGTGTGATGGCACAGGCCATAATCATAGCACTCAGGAGGCTGAGGCAGGAACAATCACAGTGAGTTCTAGGCCATCCTTTTTTTATTTTTATTTTTTGGTACTGGTGATTGAACTCAGGACCTTGTGCTTGTGAGGCAGGTGGCAGAACCACTGAGCTAAATCCCTGGCCCTCAAGGCCATCCTGAACAACACAAAGCAAGATGCTGCCTCAAAAAAATGAAAAAATAAAAGCATTCTTTCTGTTGAAGATTCTCTCCATTGCCAATGTAGGTTTGAAGAATTATTTAAATTATTAAAATTACTTTTTATATGATTTGAGTGGGACTATTTTCCTTTTCCTAAATATTAATTATAGTTCTAGAACCAAAAATGGAAAAGAATATATTTGAGTTACATGTAAATGTGATTTTTTTTTTTTTTTGGTTTTTTTTGAGACAGTGTCTCATTATGTAGTTGAGGCTGACTGGAACTCATTATGTAGCCCAGGCTGGTCTTGAACTCACGGCAATCCTCCTGCCTCAGCCTCCCGAGTGCTGGAATTACAGGTGTGTGCCACCACACCCGGCATGTAAATGTGATTTTAAAATCCTTCAGAATATTTAGGTATTTAATGTTTTAGTATTTTATCAAGTAAATAAAAAATCCATTGTTGGATGTTTTTACAGCTTACTCTTGCTTGTTCCCGAAGTTCATCCACAATTAAGCGATCAACTCTAGATGGGTTAGAAGTCAGTCTTGGAATTGGAGTATTGTTAGTACTGGACACTTTTTTTCCTGGATAACTCTTGGCAAGGGCTAATTCAGTCTGTAAAAAAATATGTAACTTTTAGATGCTGAATTTTCTAAATATAACTCAACTGTGATTAATATTTTTCATAGTCCTAAGAAATAAAATTACCCTCTTAAAAAAATTCTGGTTTGGTATCAAAAGGTAACAAATATAAATCACAGTATGACAGTCTTTTTCTGTTGTACTTAATACATTAAAAAGACTTAAATACTATTATAATTTTCAAGGAATTAAACTTTTTTTTTTTTTTTTTGGTACCGGGGATTGAACTTGGGTCCTTGCGCTTGCAAGGCAGGCCACCGAACCACTGAGCTAAATCCCTGGCCCAAGAATTAAACTTTTAACCCGATAAGGAAAAAAAATCTACTACGTAGAAAACTTTAAAAATTAGAATATCGATAGCAATTATTTAAAAACTTAAGCTTTTAGTCTTTAACCTAGGTAATTCTTCATAGTCATGAACTTAAAAACTGTGTATAATAAAATAATTCAATATAGAATAAGGCACTTTTAAGCTTCACTAAGGTAAACAAAGTGGAGACAGGCAGAGGGAAGAGACTACGTCGTTCCTAAATAGACAATTGGGTTACCTTTTTCCTCTCCTTTTCTAGTGCTCTCCACTGTTCATAGCATTCCTCTAGACGAATGTGGAGTTCGCTGGCTGGTCCACTACGGGTTTTAATTGGTCTTTGAAATCCAAAAGTTGGCATAAAACCAGAAAAGGAACTATCACCACACATCATATCATTAAAATAAGGATAGAAGTGGCTTAAGTCATCACAAGAAAACAAATCATAGGAATCCAACAGCGGAAGAACTGAATGGCCAAATGGGTGAGTAGATCTTAGGGGAAACCCATTTGAACCAAGTTGTTGAAAACTCTGATTGTGCCTTAAATCTCCCATCATATAATTATTAGGGAAGCATGAGGCCTGTGTGCGATTCACACGGCCATTAATATTGTTGTCTCCACTTCCTTGTCTGTGGCTATTAAAATGCCCCTGTGCCTCCAACAGCTCTTGATATGTATTTGGAGATAAGCCATCTAAATGTTTTGGACCTTCCTCGGGATCATAATGTCCACTCTGGGGCTTGGCTTGAAAATTATGTTTGTTTACATTTTCAGTGATCCCATACTGCTGAAATGAATAATTATCACAAAATCCATTTGGCTGCTTTATTTTTTTATCCATAACCAATTCAAAGAGATTTTCTTCTCCAGTCTTTGTTAGTCCTTCCATGTGATTGATAGATTGAATTCTATCTGCACCATTGTGATTGAAATCAAAACTAGAAAATGCTGAAGGGTTTTCTTGGCAATATTTCTGAAATAAATTGCTATTTGGGGTCAAATTTGTGGAGGGTAGCTGGGAGAAATCTGAAGAATGGTTAGAACCTTTTGAAGCTGCACTTAAATGACTGTTTAATTTCATCAAGTTACCTTGATTTCGATAAGGAATAGCAGTGTTATTTTTTGTTTGAACATTCATCCAAGTTGGTCTGTTTAAACCGATACCTCCTGCAGATGTTGCTGAGTTTGATAATAAATTCACTGATTTAAAATACTCAGAATTTGGGGTCTCAGGTTTAGTAAATTGTTGCTTTTCTCTGACGGCAAAGTCATTATTAGCTGGACAAGCTGTGTGAGGTTTTAGTCCATATTCTGACTTTAAGGCAAAATCAGCAGTGAATCCTGTTTCCTTTGCAAACTGTTTTTCTGCCAGATGTAGTGTGGTTTTGGGAAATGTGAAATTCTGCTGGTCAGACAGTGTGTCCTCCATTTTTTTCTGACTTGCCGATTTAACCTGAAATAACTTTGTATAGGTATCTGCTTCGACAGTTGGTGTTTCAGGTGTGCCATTGGCTAGTTTTTTACCATCTTGGGCACTGAAATTTGAACATTTATTAAGCTTAGTTTTATGAGGATGAGTATATTCTGGATACCTGCAACAATCTGCATTTTCACTGTATCTATTAAACTGGGAAAGAAACGTCTCTGCCCTTTTTTGTTGTAATGGTGCTTCAAGACCTTTAGCAAATATTTTCTCTCTTCCATAAGGGTAAGTATCAATTCCTGATTCTTTCACAATATCAGACACACAAGTTTGTGGTACAAGACAGTTCTTGATAAATGGATACTCTTGGAATGTTGCCTTAGTTGTATCATTTGTCTGAATGTTGTAACAGTTAGAATGATCACTTCGTGAGGGATACATCCATTGTTCATCCAGGTCTAAACCAGTAAATCCATGATAAAGTTCATCTATTTTTTGTTGTGATGGGAGATTATTATTATGAACGTATTGTTTTTCCACTGCTGACACGGATTCACCACTATAAAAAGACTGCTGAGAGACAGCTGTGTCTATTGGCCTTTTGGTTTCTGTTAAGAGGTCATGGTGATCTACAAATCTGCTTGTATTCATCGGCCAAACTGATTTTAGATTAGAGGAGCAGGTCCTAGAACACGTAAATATATTTAATTACAACTTAAGTTTTAAAGACATTATTTCCCCAGTGAAAAAGATAGGAAAGATTTTTTAACATTTATTTTGCCCCTCCTTCACCATTTTCAAATCTTGACTTACAAGCTACCATCAACTAGAAACAATTTTCTATCACATGGAATGTGCTATATGCTCTATGAATAGTCATACACTGAATAAAGACTTTTCAGTTAACAATAGACAACATATACAACTGTAACGGAGCTGAAAATTTCCTGTTGCTCATGACACATAAAATCACAGTAGCCCAAGGCACTCTAGGTGTTTATGGTGCTGGTGTAAACAAACCTACTACATACATGTATGACTGTACAGTCAAATAAAAGTATAACAATTGTGTATAGTATATACTATTAGATAATGCTAATGAATGACTACTGATTTGTGTTTGTACTATACTATGCTTTTTTGTTTTGCTTTTTGCAGTACTAGGGATTGAACCCAGTGCTTTCATACTAAGCTACATTCCCAGCCCTTCATGTTTTTATTTTGTGACCAGGTTTTGCTAAGTTGCCCTGGCTGGGCTTGAACTTGTGATTCTTCTACTTCAATTTCCCAGGGTTCTGAGATTAAAGGAGTGCATTATAACACCTGGCTTTTACTCTTGTTTGTAAAGCTAATGTAAAATCATACTGTTACAATGATTCCACCAAGAGGCCACATTGAGTGACTTACAGCACCTGAGTATGTATAAGTATACTTCAATAATATTTATTTGAATGACAACAAAAGTATTGAATAATGCACTTCTTAGAACCTATCCCCATCAGTAAGCAACCCTTGACTGTTTTCATTTTAATCTTACTATGTTTTTACTTTACTTTGCCAAGAGGCATTAAGTAAGGTCTTCAGGCTGATGACTTGGGGGGCTCTTAGATGAACTGCTTATCATAAGCAGAGAATAAGAAAGTTTTTTTTTCCTTTGAATAGGTTATTATATAATACAAAAGTACTGTTGACCACAATTTTTTTTAATGAAAAAAGATGTGTTTTGCTTAAAGTATGTTTAAAATTGGTTACATGTGTACAGCATATTTTCCTGTTTATGAAATAGGGTGTTTTGGTAATACGACTTCCACACCCAATTAAAACAATATTTAAAAAACTTCTACCATATGAATAAAATCCACATGTATTTCTGTAATGACTCATGAGTTTTATTCTTTGGGATCTATGTATAAAAGCTCCTCAGAATTTATATTCTTTAAGCCAAATTTTAGCTCATGAACTCAAGAGAAATAGCACTGAATTACACAAGGTAAATTTTCAAATGAAAATTCTTAGACAAATAAAACCGTAGACTGAACTTTCAACTGTATGGAAATTACCTCAGTAAAATCAAGGCCCCCTGACAACAAATACTTGAATTATTATTACTATAATTATTACTACAGTCAGGTGATCCACTATTAAGTAAAAATAAAAGTTAATAAATAGGGTAACCTAATGTATGTGAATTTAAAAGCTAATTATATACTATAAAGCTTATACACCATACTAACCCTTCAGGAAAATATGGCTGTGACTTATCTTGTTCTTCCAAAATGTTAGACACAAGTCCATATAAGTCTGTTTCACTGCCATAGTCATTTCTTTCATTTTGAATCCTAAAAAGAAATAAGTAGCATGAAGCGATTTTATTCATGTTAAACACAATATATTGATTTCTCCTTCCAGACATATTCTACTATTATTTTTTTCTAATGTACTTACAGACATGCTATACTATACCTACTCCTAAAAGCACATCTGGTTCTATGATACTTCATTTATTCCTCATCACCTGTTCAGCTTCTTCACTTGTGATTTATTTTATTTGTTTTTTGGTACTGAGAATCAAACTTAGAACCATGCACTTCCAAGGCAGGTGACTGCACCACTGAGCTAAATCCCCAGTCTTTCACCTAGGATTTAAAGACTACATGAACCTGTTGCTCTGGTTTTTTGTTTGTTTGTATTTTTTGAGACAGGGTCTCACTATGTAGTTGAGACTGACCTGGAACTCCCTGTGTAGCCCAGGCTGGTCTCGAACTCACAGCGATCCTCCTGCCTCAGCCTCCCGAGTGCTGGGATGACAGACGTGCACCATCATGCCTGGCACTGTTGCTGTTTTGAGACTCCTTACATTAAATATCACTTATCAAAGTGAACCGTCATGGTCATTCCAGTCTCCATGGTAATTTTGCAGTTGTCCTTAAAATACAACAAACTGGAGGGTTATCCCTAAATCCTTGCCAAAGTAGTGACTGGTTGGAGTCCCATGTCCTTGAGATCCCACCAACTAATACTGTCTAAATAAATAATATAAAATGAAAAACACCACAAGCACAGAGAAAATTGCTGTTTTTGAGATAAGAAGAAAACCTGCAGGGGAAGGACCTGCTTGGGGTCCCACAGCAAGTCTCTCAGAGGCTCTTCCCCACACCTCAGAGCCTAACAGCACAGGCCGCACCACTTCCCAGACACCTGGCATGGGGTAGGCAGGCAGCAGGACAGGGTGCTCAGGAGGTGCCGCGCCCCCCACTGCCCAGGGTATTTTTATTCCTGAACCAGACCCCCTCCTTGTTCTGGTCCTGTCTTCCCATCTGTAAAATGGTATCCAAATAACTCTCAGCTGAGCTTTCTAGAATCTGACCTCCCGGGCAGGGGCGGTGGTGGCTCTCAGACCCTCAGACCCTTATGGGGACTGGTTTCATTGAAGGCTTCCGGATCAAGATCTTGGAGAAGAGAGCCACACCTGCTCCCGACCCAGCCACCATCACTGAAGCACCGGGAAGGTAGCCGTGTGGGCGCCCCTGAACCCCCAAAAGACCCCCCCGCACTCTCAGTCCTCCTGACTGTGCCAGTCTTTGGACCCACTCTGCAGAGGCAGAGGTGGTCATCAAGGGTATTTTTCTGAGTTCCCAACTTTGAACATCTTTAAAGAAAGGGCTTGGGAAAGCTGTAACAGAACGTTGTGGAGTGCAACCATTCAGAAGGTTGGGGAACTCAATCTGGGCCTTGCAGCCCGAGGTCAGTCAGCGTCATGGGGTTCAGCCATCAACTGACTGAGACCAGGGGACTTGCATCCTCGCTCGGTCTGAACCATTAAATGGTAAATACACTATATTGAAATTTTGTTCACTGCAGACATGTTCTGGACTGCTTCTTGATTTCAATTTAATTCAAATGATTTAAGGGTGATAGACTAGTGACTACCACAGGGGGTCAGTGTCCAAGTTGTGCTTGATCTTAATGTGTTGCTGATTGTTTCACTTGGGATAAAGCATTGCGGCTGACTTGATGAGCTGCTTTTCTGATGTTATGAAGATGAGAATGTCTGTGGGTCGTTAGAGACACAGAAGCTAGGGTGCAACCATCTCAGGAAGATTTGGGTGATAACTCAGAGATTAAACCAAGGACAGTCCGACAACAAAAATAAAAATGAGAAAACACTTAAGCAAGACACAAGGACAGACTTCCAGTTCACCAATGGCAAACAGTAGGGCAAATGAGGATGAAAAGGCCGATAGTGAACCACCAGGACACCCTGAACTCAAAGCACAGGAAGTAACAAAACAGATCAATCAGGCTCTAGAAAAATTCAAAACAGAAATAATTTCCCAGATAACCATAGAGATAGTGAGCAAAATGGAAGTCGCGATTCGAGACTCTAGAGCAGAAACCGACAAAACAATAGATGAGCTCAGGACCATGATAGAAGCCATGAAGGCCCAGCATGAGAAAGAAATGGAAAAAATAAACGGCCAACATAGAAAAGAAATGGAATGCCTAAAACAGATTCAAACAGATATCCAGGAGATTAAACACTCCATAGAAAGTGTACGCAACAGAATAAAAGAATGCGAAGATAGACTCTCAGATATAGAAGATAAGATTGCAGTCAGTGACCATGAAAAGCGAGATCTCTTAAAAACAGTAAGGGATCATGAGAAATCGATCCAACAACTCCTAGATGATGCAAAGAATAACATAAGACTGATAGGAATACATGAAGTAGCAGGAGAAAATACAAATGACTTTAAAAAGCTGTTCACAGAATTAATGACAGAAAACTTCCCAAACAGAAGGGAAGAATTTGACATTCAGATAACTGAGGCATATAGGACCCCAACTAGCTACAATAAAAAAAGAATCTACACCTAGACATATAATAATCAAGATCCCAGAAACCCAACAGAAGAACAAAATACTACAAGCAGTAAGAGAAGAGAAACAAATCACATATAAAGGAAAGCCCATCAGAATCAAAGCAGACTTTTCAACACAAACCCTTGGGGCAAAGAGAGCCTGGAATGAGATATTTCAAGCACTAAGAGAACAACCTCCAACCTAGACTGATGTATCTTGCAAAACTCTCTTTCAAAATGGATGGGGAAATAAGACACTTCCATGACAGAGAACACCTGAGAAACTACATGAATACCAAACCAGTGCTACAAGTAATTCTAAACAAGATCCTAGAAAAAGACAATGAAGGCAACAACACCATGAGGCCCAACAGACCAAATCAAATAGGCAAGACAAGATACATAGTAGGGACAGTGCTTTATCAGAGCTTCATTTAATGATATTACTCTAGAATGTTCTCTTTCCAGATGATGATTAAGATGCTAATAAAAAAAATGGTGCCAGGTACCACAACAGCAACAGAACTTTGCTGTTTTCTGGATATTATTCTTTCTTTGTTTCTTTTTGTTTTGTTTTTTTATTGGAATGTGCTGAATGTCTATAATTTTGTTCAGATGACTGCAGAACCTGGAAAAGCTGTTGCTGCTATCGATGCATAACATACTGCTATTATTAGTCTTTTTATATAAATATAAATACACACACACACACACACACACACACACATATATATATATTGAATTTTGGGAAACTTTAACTGCCAACTTTGGAAAAAGTCATCCCAGTTTACTGTGTTGAGTTGGCATTGTACAGAAATGGACAGCCATACTGGTCTAGAAATGTTAATTTTTTTATTTTTATTTTTAATTTTTTTTCCATGTATACAGGGGTAACACATCGTACTAAATATGTAAGGTCATATCTACATGGGTTTGATTACAGAAACTAATAAAGTATTATCTAAATAATGAGAAATAAGAATAAGATAAAACTATAAGAGCAAGAAGCAATTTAAATATGTTCAGGGACCATTTTCATCTCCAGAATTAAGGATTATTTTAATGTTACATCATTGCCTTTTCTCTTTTACTTTCCTTTTTAGTTTTATTTTAGGATTCCCTATTTTGAATGTTCATAGAGAGATTTCTTTAACTGAAATACTGAATAGTTTCTTCGGTGTGAAAAACTATAATAGTATACAGGATCCTAATGAGATCATTAATAATGTGAAATAGGAAGTAAAGGGCTAAAGGTGTAGGGAAAGTGGGAAGGGTGGGGGAAAGGTAATAAGGGAGAGGAAAAAAAATATGAGAAACTGAAAAAATGGAAATAAAGTATTTGTAAATGGGGAGGGGAGGAGGGGGTGAAGGGAGGGCAGGGACAAGTGGAAAAAATGAGAATAAAGACCTATTATGTAAAGGTACAGAATCCCAATGATGAATGTAACTGTACTGTATACCTAGAGTGTACCAATAAACTCAATAAAGAAAAAGAAAAAAAGAAAATTTCTGTTTTTTACTTCTCATGGTTTTGATAATTCCTTCCTAGAAATATTTTGTTTTAAATATAACTTTGTGCTTTTTAAATATTTTAACATTCCAAAGTATTGAGATGCTCTAAAATAAAAATGTTTTATCTGCCTAATACTCACATGTTTAATCAATCACAGTACCAGAAGGATAGGCTTCAGGAATCGGTTATTATCTACTGAATGATAGAATGATTGAGATAGAGAAACGTGTATTTTAAACCAAACTTTAAAATTATAAGCATAGGTATCATATTTGCCATATTAATTCTAGTGTCTTTAGTAGGAAAGCATCTAGCATACAACTGTCCCTTATTATTTGTAGGATACAAAAAATATTTAAAATTACTGAAAACTTAAAATTGGATTAAAAAGCTAGGCCTAGGGGTACACATCTATAATCTCAGCACTTGGGAGGCTGAGACAGGGGGATCACTGTGAGTTTGAGGTTAGCCTGAGTTACACAGAAAGTTTAAGTCCAGCCTAAACTACACAGTAAGATCTGGTCTCAAAAAATTAAAAAATTGGGGCTGGAGATTTAGTTCAGTGGTGCCACCACCCGCCTTGTAAGCACAAGGTTCCGAGTTCCATCCTTGTTAGTAAAAAGCAAATACAAATAAAACGGGCCAGGCATAGTAGTGCATGCCTGTAATCCTGGCCCTCAGAAGCGGAGGCAAGATGACAGCTGTGAATTTGAGGCTAGCGTGGACTACGTAGTGAGTTCAAACCCAGCCTCAACTGCACAGTAAGATGCTGTCTCAAAAAACAAAAAAGAATTGGATTAAAAAACAAAACAGATCTAGGGCTGAGGATGTAGCTCAGCGGTATTGCACTTACCCAGCATATATGAGTTCCTGAATTTACTTCCTTATACCACACACAGATACAAAAAAAGATAAAATAGATCTAAAAATTTTAATTCTATGGGCCAAGGATGTAACTCAGTGGTGCTATGCCTGCCTGGCAAGCACAAAGTCCTGAGTTTGATCTCTGGTACTCAAAAAAATAAAATACTTGGAAGAACTTAAGATTTATGTACTAAACATTCTCTCTAATGAGTTAACAAAAGAATAAACAAAATTATATACAAATAACTGTCTAAGCTTTCAAAAAAGTTTGATAAACATAAAAGTTTAACACCACAACATTAAAATGGCTAACTAGAGAACAGAGGACTATTGCATCTTGGTTCCTATGTAATTAAACTTAATGATACCTTATTTTAGTCTGAGAAATCTAATGTATTAACTTACCTGTTCTTTATATTGATCTGAGAATTAGAAGGTTGTTTAATATCATCTCCATAAGTAGACCATGGTGCATAGAAAAGTGAAGAATCTATAGAACTTGCATATTCTGTTGATGAAGAAAGTGGAGTATAGGTCTGTCTTAGATCTACATTGTCTTCGTTCTGAAATTTTAAGGACACATCTGTATGTTACACACATTAAAACTTCCATTTATTATAGATTAACAAAATAATATGAAAACAGAGGAACTAGAATAGGTATAAAGGCTTGAGAGAGTTACACTCAAATCCGGATTTAAGCTACTTGAGCCTACTTTATACAAGGGATTGGCCAACTTTTCCGTAAAGGCCAAAGAGTAAATATCCACGCTTTGCTAGGCATTGAGGTCTATTGAAATTTTGTCAACTTTTTTTTCTGGCACCAAAACAACTGGAGAGAATATATAACAGATGGGCATGCCTATGTTTCAATAAAACTTTACTTACAAAACAGGCACTGGTCAGATTTAGCCCCCTGTTGCTGATCCCTGATCTAAAATACCTGCAATCAGCCAAGGAGAAGGGGACAGGAAGACCTGAAGAGGGGGAACAGGAGGAAGAGGAGGAGGATCAGATGGTGAAAGAGGAGGAGGTTCTGACAGAGAGGAAGAGAACCTCACAGGGAAGAGGAGGAGGCTGGAGGACTCGAAGGGCAGGGTAACCATTAGTTCCAGGCCAGGCTGCACTACACAGGGAGTTCAAGGCCAGCATTAACTATACAGTGAGATCCTGTCTCAACAAAAACAAAACAAATGAATAAAATACCTATAATTATTGTAGTTTTAATATTCCTTTTTTTGTAGTTTTAATATTTCAACAGATGAATAATATGTGGATACTTGGATACTACCACTGTTATTTTTTAATTTTCTGGTACTGGGATTGAACTCTGGACCTTGGGCTTGCAAGGAAGGTGGCAGGACCACTGAACTAAATCCACAGCCCCACCAGCACTGTTATTTTATTTTATTTTATTTATTTATTTTCTTGGTACTGGGGATCGAACTCGGGTCCTTGAGCTTGCGAGGCAGGCCACCAAACCACTGAGCTAAATCCCCGGCCCTTAGCACTGCTATTTTTAATAAATCATGTTAATGCTTCCAATCTTTGTTTAAAAGTACATTTATATAGAATTTTTCAATTTTCAAAGAAGTTCCACATATATTATTGTATTTAGTCAACACTTTAACATTGACTATATCTCTACTGTAAAAAGTAGGAAACAGATTACAAGTTCTTGAGCCAATACATGATAAAAATTAAAACAAAACACATGAGCTTCTTATTCCTAGCCAAAGGCTTAAAGAGAAAAACAAACAAAACAGGGTCTTTAATTTTCAGCTCATTTTCTTTTTGTTGCTGTTTTTGGTACCGGGGATTGAACTCAGGACCTTGCGCTTATGAGGCAGGCAACAGCACCACTGAGCTAAATCCCCGGCCCTTTCAGCTCATTTTCTATTTCCAAGGGATACTGTAAAATTGAATTGATATCTAAAATATTATGCTCTCTTCAGAAATTTTAAAGATGTTGCTACAATTAGAAGGAAAACACAAACTCATTTTCCTTTTTTCTGGTGAATTGAGTAAAGATAAAAAGTTTACCACTTGCCTTGCGAGCACAAGGGCCCAAGTTCAATGCTTGGTACCAAAAAAGAAAGTTTGGGCTTTTTTTTTCCAGTACCAGGGATTGAACTTAGGACCTTGTGCTTCTGAGGCAGGCACAGCACCACTGACCTATATCCCTGCCCCCAAAATTTGGATTTAAAGATGTTAATGAATTACAACCTTCCTCCTTCCAAATAGGTCTGAGGTTCGAGGTTGCTTGGGCAGTATAGTGAGACTGTCAGGGAAAAAAAAAAAAGCTAAATTTTGTGGTACACACCTATAATCCTATCAATTCTGGAGGCCAAGACCAGTAGTAATATAAAATAGAAGGAATTTAACAAACAGAAACAGATTAAACTAATTTAGCCATTGTTTACTCTAAAAAGTGTCTTTAAAGAACTCTGCAAGTACAGATTTATAATTTTTAACTCTCAAAAAGGACCTATTAAAACTTGAGATTTTATAACTATAAATATCTTAACATAAGCACAACAGAAATACTTTCTTATAACTACAGAAGAGATTAATTTTGGGTATGTGTTTTTTTGGGGGTGTACTTTTGGTGCTAGGGATTGAATCCCACACCCCATCCCTCACCTGCACCCTACCACTAAGTTATATCTCCCCAGCACCTAAAAATATGGGCATGTATTTTTTAAGGTATTGGAGATCAAACCCAGGTGTTCTCTACCACTGAGTGTTAAATTGCCCACACTGGTCTTGGTTGTTCCTGCCTCAGCCTCCAGAATTGACAGGATTATAGGTATGTACCATGAAACTTAGCCTTTTTTCCCCCAGAAGTCTCACTATACTGCCCAGGCAACCTCGAACCCTCAAATGATCCTCCTGCCTCAGCCTCCCAAGTAGCTAGGACGACAGGTACATATAACTGTACTTGGCTAAAAATATTTTTAAATGCTTTTTTTTTCTTAATAAATAAAAAAGTATATAAGGAAGTGGCACTGTGCCTGCTACTCAAGTGCAAGGTCCTGAGTTTGATCCCTGGTACTGGAAAACATTTATATATAAGGAGAAACCCCATGTCTAGATCAAAGTATTTCTAAATGTTTGTTCTCACTAGACAATATTATTAATAGGGAGTGGGGTGTATACCTCCTAAGCACTCCTGGGGCTGAGGCAGAAGGACTGGCACAAATTCAAGGCCATTCTGAACACACAGTGAATTCAGGGTTGGCCTGGACTACATGGTGAGACTTTGTCTCAAAAAAAAAAAAAGGAAAAAATTAAAAAGCAGTACATATTTAATACTGTGTTTATAGCAATACATATGAAAATTAAGACATACTTTCTAGTCTCCCAACTTCAACAATCTCAAAATAGTTTACAAGTATTTAAATTCTGGTATAATTCCTGTTTAATACCTACATAGTATAGTTTTTCTGAATACAACATTATGATTCTTCTCAAATTGAGAAATAGAGGCACAGAAGGGATTCTGCTGAGTGCCACAAAAATCTACTTTTCCAGAATTTCTGTTAGTTAGCAGCAACTTTTACAAAGCCTTTTAGTTTTAGAACTTTTTTTTTTTATACCGGGGATTGAACTCGGGTCCTTGTGCTTGCAAAGCAGGTGTTGGAACCACTGAACTAAATCCCTGGTTCCTATTTTTAGAACTTTTCATAACCACAGTTATTTTGTTTTGTTTTTCCCAGTATGGAACTCAGGCAGGCACAGCATCACTGAGCTACATCCCTTCGCCTTGTTTTGTTTTTTGAGACAGGGTTTCGCTTTGTAGTTCAAGCTGGCCTTGAACTCATGGCAATCCTGCCTCAGCCTTCTAAGTGCTGGAATTAGCGGTGTGCACCACCATACCTGTCACTTTATAATCATAGTTTTTATCAAAGGCCTATTATAACTTTTTAAGGGGTATCCAAAGTGACATGAATACTTTCTTAAAATAAATGCTTAGACAAAAGGAATATTTTCAGACTGTGTAATAGTAAATGAGATAATGTCTGGAACTAAATACATTTTATTCTTTCAAGTACATTTCCATTGTAAGTTGAGTTCTGGAGCTGCGGCCCAAGCTCAGGTAAAGTACGCATACAGTATGTGCAAGGCCCTGGGTTCAATCCCCAGTACCACTTAAAACAAAGAGGTATATAAAAGTCAGAAAAGTTAAAGTTAAACCCCTTTAAAGGATTGATTTAAAGTTTGTATTCTTGGGCTCGGGATTTAGCTCAGTGGTTCCACCGCTTGCCTTGCAAGCACAAGGACTTGAGTTCAATCCCCAGTACCAATAAATAAATAAATAATAAAGTTTTTATTCTTGGATAATAAATCAAGTGAAGTAATGTGGTGAATTTAAATTATACTTGAAATATCTAAATCTTTTTCAGTAAAAATATGAAAGCCTAGAAATATGTACATTAGGATAACTGCAAAATGTCTCATTTATAGCACTGATGTACTTAAAACCATTACCTGAAATTAAATCTAAGTAGACTTTAGTAGAAATATAAACAAACAAAAAGAGAAACAAACACAGAGAGCAATAGAAGTCTGGTCTTGGGAGTGAAGAGACCTGAGTTCCATTTAGGATTTGTCATTTAGGGCACAAACCAAGCTCTCTGAGCCTTACTGTTTCAAACTGTACAGTGGATAAAATACTATGCAAGGTTGCAGTGTGGATTATATATAAATGTATTTGAATATATTGTTATAGTTCAAAGTATTTTTTAAAAACACGAAGTATAATAATACCAGCATTGATGTCCTGGTTAAATTATTTCAACTGAAATGACTTACATTACCCTACCTCTTCTCTTTTTTTGCGGGGGTAGTACCAGGGATCCAAGTCAGGTCCTTTCATTTGTGAGGCAGGTAGTGGCACCACTGAGCTAAACAACTGACCCTGGGGGTGGGGGGGTGGGGGGGTTCTTTTTGAGACAGGATTTCACTATGCAGTTCAGGCTGGCCTTGAATGCATTTTGTAGCCCAGGCTGGCCTCAAACTCGCAGGGACCCTCCTGCCTCAGCCTCCTGAGTGCTGGTGCACCACCACAACCAACCTGGGTTTCATAATATGATTAACCAAAGGAAATGTCTTGGGTGAGGTAAATGGTAGCAAGTAATTAAAGACATTGTTAAAGAACAAAGGAATATGGAAAAATTTCCCTTTAAATTAAGAAATGTATGTTTTAAATGAAAAAATAATTTTGTTCTTAATAAATAAGTATGACCCGGCCTCCTTAAAGAACATTTCTGAGCTGGGCATAGTGATGCACGTTTGTCATGCCAGCACTCTGGGAGGCTGAGGCAGGAGCATTACGACTTTGAGTCAGTCTGGGCAATTCAGTCAAAGCCTGGGTCGTAGCTCAGTGCCACCACCCTTGGATAAATCTCCAGTACCAATACAAACACACACAAAAAACCAGATTTTTGACAGCAGATACACAAGAGGGGGAATGCACACTTGCTCCGTCACTTGTGGTCAGAGCTGCGGGAGCTGTGTTTACAAGGTCTGGACTTCAAGTGGCCCCTGGGTCCCCCAGGTCCAGGGTCTGCCGAGGGGGCGTCACCCACGGCCCCGCGCCTCCCCGCACGCCCGGCCGGAATAGGCGCCGCGTAGGTCCCGG